ACTATACAGAACTAAATATACGTAATTTTATAAATGCATGTGAGTATAAAGGATTGCGAAGTCTTTGCTTTAATCTCCAAATACCTACATTCGTTGATGGATTACATCAGTTAAAATTTCAGTTATTATAAATCATTTCTCTGAACTAAATAATGTACCATAAACGGAAACATAAAAATTTTTAATAAATTATGAAAAGTACTTTTGCAGTTCCATCTTATTTTGGGTGAATTTTTGTCTGCAGTGAGCAAAAGCGGAAAAAAATTGCTGCTAATTTCCCCTGGTTCAAATCCGGCCAAATACTTTAAATACGTTTTTTTAAAATTACATATGCGTATTATATCCTTTAAGTGTTTTAAATAAAACGTAACCTTTAAATGGAAATTTCAGAGTTTCTTAAATGAATTTAAAAGGATATGGAAAAAAAATCAGTCCATTGTGGGTTATTCGAAAAACATTGCTACGCTCCAATTAATTTGAATAAATGAAATTCCACAGTACACTGAAATTTCCCTAAGACAACTACTTGTTTTTCTAAATGACACTTGTATTCTATTTCAAGTAACCTCCTCAGAAAGCATACGAATTTGTGAATTTCGATACCGTTATTTAATTGTATTTACAGAAATACTGGACACACTAACTGGTAGTCAATTTAGGATAGTTTTAGGGAGGTATTTCTAGAAGCAGGTCGTGTTTTACATGATTGTGCTTTGTACAGTGCAGGGAAAGAATATCAGTATATAGCAGTTTTAAAACTAAAAGTTTGTGTATTCATAAGCTAGCGATTGCTCATTCTTTTATGGAAATTCTGTCTAATTAATAGATAAACGGGTAATGATAGAGCTATATTGAGCATCTGAAGAAAACAATTAAATGACTACCTAAAAATAGAGGAAATTATAGTTGTTTTAAAAAAGATTGCTTTTAAAAGTATTTGATTAGTACAGAGAGTGTTTACACATTTTTAGAAGGGTTTGGGTGAGGTTTAATTAATGTCTAAAATGTAAAGGTTCTAAAATGATAATTAATGTCTAAATGTAAAATGTAATGTATTTTTCTAAATGTTCGATATCTTTTCTGGGCTAAAATTCCCTTAATTTCCATAATAGAAGGACTTTTCGAGAAATTTCTACGATTTTTGATTTTCATTCCTCTTCTACTACTTTATAGAATATATCATTCATCATGGTTGTGCGCTTAGAAAGAGCTCTTTTCAAGAGACCTGATGCACAATAGTTCGTAGCTAAAACATCAGGGTAGTTCGTAAAACTACCTCGAAAAGGCATGAGAGTAGCAGGAGCGCGGCAATACAACACGACTGACAGTCTCGCAGGCAGAAGGATGATGGGAAATAAGAGGAATGTGTGCTATTCGATTAAGACGTAAGGACGATGAAGCGAAGACGTAACCTCTTAATCATACCGTTATTTTTCACCTGTAAATACCATTTTAATGTAACTCCTCTGATAGCTAACTTTAATAATTTACTCACCTAGAAGTGTTTCGACTGTCTACTAACCCCTTAGATGCTGAGCTTACAGATATTAATGCAATACCTGTTTCTGTTTTCATTTTTCAAAGAATGCTGTGGTACTTTTCCAATAATGACTTGTTGTTTTATCTTGATGAAGTTTCACTCTTTGAAAGTCATTGGGATGAAGAAATAGAAATTCTTCTGTAAATATCGGACGTAAAACCTTTCTCTTAATAATACATTGACTTGATTTTATTATTTTTTTCCATTCTCCTTTTTTTTTTTTTTTTTTTTTTTTTTTTTTTTTTTTTAATTTCCTATCTCAAGAGAATTCCGTGACAACTGTGAATCCCATACTGTAACATTTTTGTATTCACGAAGCCAAGTTTGTACAATTTTTTGCTTTGTTTTCGATAGTAAATAAATACTTTTTCAGTCATTCAGTACCTATGTTTTATCAAGAATCATAATTTATTTCAATTTATCTCTACTAAATAGGTTTCATAAAGTTGTAATAATTATTTTGCGTTGAGCCACATGCCTTGCCACAAGATGGTCAACATTAGGAATTTTTAGCTTTTATAAGTTGTAAATCTTACTTTGTTATTTTATTTATTGTTGTTACAGATGTATTTTAAGATTTGTAAATTTCTGAGTAGGCGGATTTTGTCTTGTTGCCAACAATTTAACTTTAGAAACATTAGTAAGAGTACATGCCTCTTTTGAGTATATGTTTGGAGTCGTTTTTCCATGTAGAAGTAATGACTGAAGATTTTTTCCCCTCTTCCGATTAATAATGTTACTTATTTTGCTGTTAGAGATGCCTTCATTTCACAACACTTTTGAATTATGAAAAAGGAATATTTCTCTCCGGAATGCGCATGAAACTTATCCTTTAATCCAAAGCTTGTTTAAATGTGAAATTTTGAAAGAAAAATAAATTTAAAAGTAAGAGACGGTATTTCTCATTTCAAATAAGTTGTTGGCAAACATTTTATTCCAAAGCATTTGCTTTTTTGTTATTTATCGAAATTGTTCCAAAGATGTCTAAGCGCCCTCTGTATGTAATGCAAATGATCATTTCAAGCGATAAAATGCAGTCTTTCCTCCTACTCAGTTTTAATACTTCAAGATATATACGTTCTAAAGTAAAAACAAAGTCTCTGGTTATTAAAGGGGGTCTGTGAATAATTGCAATTAGCACTGATTAGATTTCCTTGTTTTATGAGTAAGTTCCTAAATCATGAGGATCTAAGCATATTAACTTCAACCTGCATTATTTATAGGAGTAGAAACGTTAGAAAAATAATTGATGTGTTTTTAGACCACTCATTTTACACGCGGTTTTATGTAAAGTTCGGGTGTCATGAAAATCCACTTCATATCAAAACATACATACGTCTTGATATGAAGAATACATCCATGATGTAATATAAGGCGTATAATATAAGGCTTGTTAAATCAAAAACCACTATCATTATTCTTTATTTTAAAAATTTATTTTTAAAAGAGACATTTTTACTGTAACCTTTGGTCGGTATCTTGTTAGAGTCTTTAATAAGCCAGTGTTCATAGCTATTGTAAATCATTAATTATTATGTGTGACTGTCTCTACTTAAGAGTGCAAACATGTGCTGCACCTTGACCAGTGATCTAGGTGAGAAGGTGGTAAAATTTTAGGTAACTATTTAGCATTTGCCCCATTGTTGCTTTGAAAAAATCAATTTGCCTCACTTTAGGATTTAAGTAGTATATTGTAATAAAACGGATTAAAGCTATAGGGACTAAAAGCTGCCTGCCGAGTACAATAATGTTATTCAAGTTCACATACGACGTCCTCCAAAATTACGTGTTGTTGAAACCAGCAATTTAAACACAATTTTACGAGCTATTAATGTATGCTTAATTTTCGACAGGACAGGTTAAATTCACTTAATGGAACAGTGAAGTACTTTCTTCATTGTTTTTTTATTAAGTTATCAGACCGATGGAGGTATACAATGCGCGCACTGACCTTTGCAAATAATTTTAATGAATAAATTTTCTTTCAAAATAAATGATGTTAATGTCTTCCTGCCTTCGTGGGATCTCGAAGCAGAAAAACTGACATAATTTATACATTACTTAGAAATTGAAGCGCGAATTTCGGATCTTTTTTAAAAATGGTACTTTCGAGACTTTTACGAATACATTCACTTCAAAATCGTTAAGAATTATGTTCATTTTGTACAAACTTCTTTGTCATAGGTCATGCGCCTCAGTTGTTAAATTGTTTAAACAAGATTCAATTTTATAATTTCACTAGTATCACGTCACATTTTCTTCTCTTTCACTCTTAGAGTGACATTTACTTATGGTCTGAGCATGATTCAGCAGTTGCTGAAGGCACAAAAAAATGTTAAGCAGTAGACACTACACTGCAGTGTGAAACAAAGAAAGCATAAATGAAACTGTTTGAAAACATTTTACAAAACTCTGAAGTTTAGTTACTTTCGTACAAATATGATAACATTCTGGGCTAAATATGATGTAGCTTATTAAAAAACAAAGACAGAACTTGGCCTTTTTTGCTTTGAAAAAAAGTGGAGAAATGCCGATCTCTGATTTTCAATATATTCTCCTGGCAGTCGATAAATTACGAAAGGGACAGATGCGTAATAAATAATAATAAATTAATAATCACAATTAAATTTAATCTGCATTAAAAAACTCTCATTTTTTTTCGAAATGAAACAGGCGCCATTTTACAACTCCTGTAAAAGCGAAAAAGCAAGGAAATATTACGAGCAGAAATTTCATCTCGTTTTGCTGTTTCGAGAGCAACTGGTTTACTTTGACAGACAATTAGTCAGAATATAGAAGGACAGACGGATTTTATGGCTTCGCAAGAGCTGTCAACCCTTGCGAAGAAACCGTGAGCTACATTGTAACAAAAACATCTCTTTCATAAATGTCGTTTACAAACAAACAGCAACGATTTGCAGTCCGTCTTTTGTAGACGTTGGATAGAAAGCTCGAAATTAAGTTCTTAAGTGGTGAACATATATAGCAGTGATTGTCCCATTGGCGCAATATTTCCAGATTATACAATATGCTATTTGGAGACAAATTCTCAACGATCGTCTGCCCAACTTTTCAGAAAACGTACCTTCTCTGAAAAAAAAAAAAAAAAAAAAAAAAAAAAAAAAAAAAATAGCATAAAACTCGTGCCTTAACTCCTACATTTCGATTCTTTCACTAAAAATTAGTTTAAATACGAGTTTTATTATCTATGCATTTTGTCTGATAAAATCAAAAACGGCGAGTAACTTTTCGATTCTTTTTTAAAACAATCAACTACTATTTGAAAAACCATAAAAAAGTTTTAAAAAAACGTTTCTTAAAAAAGTTTCATACTTGGCTAGTTCAATCAGCAAGTATCATGATAGCATTTAAAACACATTACTTCATTTAGAAAATATTCCTCATCTGTTGACTTAAATTGTGTTTAAAAGCACTAAATAATTAAGACCAACTTCCTTACTTGAAAAAATGTTCTCCTCTATTCCATTTGATCTCACTGTTGCTGCTGCAGTTCAGTTGAGGAGCGAGGGTAATGTTATCGTTCTGAGGATCATTCAGGAAAAGTTCCAAACCACGAATAAATATCTTTACCGATCTTTCTATTTCTTCCATGAGTCGAGTTTTTGTTGTGTTGAAATGGATACCTGAAAATAAAGCAAGTTCTTTTAATAAATTTACCATTTACACCTTGGAGTTTCAAGAAATATTATCTCATACATTATAAAACGCAGCAGTAGAATTCAAGCAATAAAAGTAAAATGCAAGTCATAGAAGGCATTGCAAAACTTTTGTATCTTCCTGTATTCTTTTCGCTCCCGTTTAGGTTGTATTCACTAAATTTTGGAATTGGCTCGGTATTAAAATTTTATTATTTCTTTTGCACTTTAGAGTATTTCTGCTTGTATCATATTTAAAAAATTATTCCTTACATTGGCATTCACTATTTACTTAAATATATTTTAAGACTTTAACTTCGCGCTTATTTTATTGTTTCCAAAATTTTTTTTCGAAATTCTATATTATGCTCTTTATTCTAATTTTTTACTTTACATATACATCCATGGTATTCATATCTCAAATATCTACTAGTTAGAGGTCCGATTTTAATTTAATTTCATTTTCAGGAAAATACCGTTGCTCAAATTCTTACCTTTATCTCTTTATTGTCCAAAGGAATTACATTTGAACTCTTCATTTATCTTTTCCTTTTTGTTATTCTTAACAGAATTACTGATTTAGATATGCCTTCGTTTAAGAGCATAATTCGTTCCAGCAATGTGCTTGTAATCCAAAGAACTTGTATATCAAAATGAATTTCTCAGTAAGGAATAAAGAAGAGGAGATGATTTTAACTACTCAGAAGTATACATATTATAAGATTAATACAGAACGAAACGAAAAAATACATAAACGGATTAAGAGAATCGTGGCTAAATAACGGAATCACTCTTGTCTCTTGCCCCAATGAATTCTCTTTTGTGCGATTTTAACTAGGAACTTAAGTTATGACAGTTGCTTCCACCTGCTTCTGAAGATTTCGTAGAAATGTGACATGCTTTAACCGGGCGACGCTTTTCTGTAAAATTTATTTCGCACGTTTTTCTACAATTTAGCTAAGATCCTAATCTTATTTAAGTGAAAAATTCCTCAACCTTTTTTTTTTCTTCCTTAGAAGACAAAATCTGCTATTCTGGCGTGATAGGATGCTGGTTCTTGCGATGTAGATCCTTCTGTTCGTCGATGGTCAGCTCCTGGTCATGCTAATCAAACAGATATTGAATATTGTCCTGTATTACCTACAATCCAGTGGCTTATCACAAGGATACTATTTCTTCGATAAGTGACGATTTTTTTTCATGAGCAAACATTTCAAATCCATATTCGATAACTCAGTCAGGCTCCCACCAAGTAGAACAAAAACTTCTCTTTTTTTCCCCGAACGCTGGGCCGGTATTCCAGAGGTCCGCGGTTCGATTCCCGGCAAAGGTGTTTGCTTATTTTTCATCTGTCCGGCTTTTCCAATTAGCCTAATGTATCTACAACCCAATACTAAAAAAAGAATGTAAATGTTCAAGAAACGTTGTTTCTAAAATAAAATTTTAACAGCATAAATTGAGCGATTTAAGCAGTAAAGATATGTAAACGATATATTAACTTACTAGCTCCCGGCGTCGAGCGAACTAAGATCCCCAGTCTGCCCCTGACCTAGGAACGCTGAACGTTACTGTGTACCTGAGCGCATTTTCAGTACCTTCTTAGACAGTTTAAGAAGGTATTGACATTTTGTAGTTATTCATTGCAAGCAAAATAATTTCCATAAAGCCTGCTTCATTATGTAAATGTTTGGATTCTTGATGTTACTTAAATAACATAAACAGGAAAACCTAACCCTTAAAATTAAAATAAAAATTCAGAATAATGCAATATTAAAAATATTTATTACATTATCATATTTAAAATATTTCTGTAGAATAATAAATTAAAACCTTAAGAACTTAAATAAGTGCTTATGATACATTTTTGCCACACTTCGAATTTAAATTTCCCGTTTGTGGGCATAAAAGGTAATCGGGATGTGTACGCAACAGCACCCTCCATACCAGCACGCTAGGTGATGGACATGTAAAAAATGACGATGACGAATGCAAGACGAAAACGTTCACTGTCCTTTTTTGTGGTTTTACTTAAGGATATGCGAATGTCTTGTGTCCATCTCCTGTGTCCATCATTCGTCGAATGACTAAAGTCACGCCTATGGCTTGCTGAAGCATCAAGGGAACCTGCAATGGTGTTCACCGTGCTGACATTTTGTGGTGCCTGCACACTTTGTCCAACTGCGCGTACAGACGCTTGTCTTGTGCACTAGCCGAGGTCCTGATTTAGGGTACGTGACATGCGGCACCATGCCACGAGGCCTAGAGGACAGTATGCCTCTCTTCTTCGCTGTTAGTGCCCTAGGAAGATGAGTGCCCTGTATCATCTCGGGGTGCATGGCATTCATTCGTGCATCCTCTCAGGACCGCCATCCATGAATGAGATCCCGATAACGCCATTATATTGGAAACGCTGGATCTTGGGAATACAATCATCCTTTCGAGAACATCATTCATCCCCACCAAGAATCCTCTCGGGAAGGCCATCTATGAACTATATCCCAGGTAGGATCTCAGCGGTGCCGCAGAGATTCTGTATTGCATTCATTATGGCCCTTCTAGTCCCATCGATTCAATATTCGCCTGACAGTCATGGGATCTTGACTAACATGAGCAGCAATATTGCGGAACGATAAAACGCAATCCCGGTGGATCACGATCCTCACAGTCGAGTTACAATTGCTGGTAAGAGTTTCTCTTTCTTCTTTTGTAACAGGACCTTTAAACTTTGTTTCTACGAAAATTTTTAGTTATAAAGCTTTGGGGTTTAAGTCGTAAATCATTAAGTTAATCACATTAAAGTTATTAAGTTCAATCACAGTTATTTAACAGGGTTTAAATGTCGCCAATCAGATAAGGTGAAGTTTCGCATGCTTAAATGGGAAGCTGAGTCAGTGAAACCGTCGATTGAATCTCAGCTCGTGTTTGATTCACTCTGATTGATCTGTACTTATAACAAGTTGGCATAAAGGTGAAAAGTCAGCGCATTTTGGCAAAAACCAGTTTTTCTGATGTAACGAAATGTGGTTGCCTAGCCACAAACCTCATATGAACAAAGTAGCATCGTATGAACGGAGTCTTACACAACAACCGACGTTCAAATGCGATTTCCAGATGAAAGCGTCAAATCTGTGAAATCTTTTCATTTACATACAATGTAGCGTTACTCATACTTGTTTTGTGCGTATGCGCTATAAGTCTAAACATTTGCATATTCCGGTGTGTAGTATTTAGTTTTTTATGCTAATTTAACCATTGTTGCGTACCGTCTTCGCAGGGTAATAATTTTAATAGCTAGGAGTGAATTTGTCAGATTACAGAGCAGAGCTTTTAGATATCTTTTAAAGAACTTGCTCGCTAATGATATCGAAAACGATTTAATATTATTTGAAATTATCTCTAACTAATTTTTATGCATTGCTGACACAATATTCCCATTGAATGCAGACATCATGAAAGAAAAATGTTGCACTTTGTTTAGGTGGCAGGAAGCAAAATGAAGTCATTCATGTCATTTTTTAAAGGCATGAAATATAATACAGTAAACTTATTCGTCGCCTCTGAAATCGCCTCTAAAAACTAACTAGTATTTTTAATACCATCATCTACATACAGAGTCATTTGAACCATCTCCGAGAGGATACATTATAATTTACAAATAAGTAGAGTTTATATAATTAAATTTAAAAAAATGCCGAAATATTTTAATTTTACTAAATTAATTACTTCAGCCACTATAATTTACATATGTACTGCAATCAGATTTACTTATAACAATAAAGATACAAATACCATATAAGTAATCAAAATCGTAAAAAACAACCTTATATTTAGCGTAGGTATAATGAAACAATCGATTTCGAGGGCAGCTAAAGGTCCCTCCTCATCAGGAGAAAGAAATACATAGAAAGAAGAAAATAGGAATCACAGAAACACGTGGTGCTTATCAGCACTGCACGTGGTTATAACTAGATTTTTAATCAGAGTTGCACTGGCCGCCTACTTTTACTGAGCCAGGCTGTCTGATCAAGCATAAAGAAATATTAGCGAAGTTAAAATAGGGAGCGAGGGGCAAATGCACATTACGCTCAAAATCTGAACTTCAAATAATGGAAAGCAACCACTGAACGGATTTTTATACCCTCTGGTAGTACCAAGTGCGAGGAGGTAACGCCATCTATCGGCAAAAATAACTGAATTAAGACAGTAGAATTTTAAAGGCATTAGGAAGGACTGGATTGGACTTCAAATCATTAACTAAACTTTCTAAATCTTTGTGAATGTGAAAAGCCTCAATAAAATCCAATTCGCCTATGGAAGAAGCCTTTTGGATGATTTTTGCAGACCCAAAATCAAAATTATCGTTAAAAGTCCAGCTATGATACGCTATTGAAGACTCGTTAATTTCCCCTTTTTTGACATAAGATTCATGTTCCTTGATACGAAACTTCAACGCTCTTTTTGTTTGGCCAATATATCTTAAACCACACTGACATGATATTCTATAAATTCCCCAAGAATTCAAGACAGAAACGCAATCTTTTAGAATCGAAGGGTGAATTTTATTAATAGGGGAGAAACCGACTTGAAAATTGAATTTCTGGAGAATCCGTGCAATTTTATAGCTAACAGAAGGATAAAATGGAAGCACGACAAGGTCATTGATATTATTTCTGACAGTAGAATGTCTTCTTTGATGGGAATCTGAAAATTTTTTGACGGCTTTATCAATAATCACGGGAGAAAATCCACGGTCAATCGCAACTGCTCTCAAATAATTAAGTTCATTGGTAAGCAAAGATTCAGAGGAACAAACTTTTAGCGCGCGGAAAACATAATAGTAAAAAGAAGCCCTTATCAGCTTTAGAGATAATGACATTAGTATCAGAATGAATTTCACGTAAGATCTCATTTTCCTTTTTGCTAAGATTAGAACCCAAAGATTTATTGTTAAAATTAACGTTATGAGTAATTAGGTGGCGGATTGTATC